GCAACCTGGGGCTGGCTGGGGCCAGCGTCTTATCTTCAGCTTGAGCTAGCTGAGGTATTGAAATAACTCATTCTCTGCTCTTTTCTTCTTTCTCTCCCCCCCCCCCCGCCTTGGCCTCTCGTGATCTGCAAAGGAAACTTCCACTCCTTACTCCCTTTAACCTTTCCCAAAATGCCTTGCGATGCTTGCAACAGTGTTAGCCACATACAGTGCTGATCTGCCTTCCCTGGAGACTCCCTGAGGGAGAGGGGGCCATTGGGGTGTGACACCACCCCATGTTCAACAATGCAATGGTAAGCTTCAGGTGCCAAGGGAATCTGCTCTCCAAGGCCCCTGTTCAACTAGGTGTTTAAGCATATGTGTAGACTCACTGAAGTCAACCCGACTACTCATGTGCTTACTGAGTCAGGGCCCAGTTGTTAAACAGCTGCACAGGCTTCAAGGCATACTGGACTCACCTCTACACCTAGATCTCCAAATAGCAGCCATAAGTGCTACTCACTTCAATTTGCAAGGAGGCAGAACTCTTCCTCTCAGATATAGAGCTTGCCATTATGACCCATGTCTTTGTCATCTCATGATGCACTCTACCCAGGAGTGACTTGTGGAGGCCAAGAAACTCTAACATCTAGAGATGCTGTGTAACTTGTGTGTCTGAGGTGCTGCTGAGGCACTGCATGGATCCTATTGTGCTCTGGCACTGGTAGAAGACTCATTTATACTTAACAACCCCAACCGTGCCTTGTCATAGCCTTCCTAGGATAGAAATTCCACACTAAAAAATAGTCAACTTGTCCCCCACCACAAAGCCTGGAGTTCTCCTGATAGCTGAGAATTATCTTGGGAGGCTCTTCCTATGTGGATTGCAGTAGTCAATGAAACATTGTCTGACCACGTCTGCATCAGGCCAGGAGTGGGGTTTGGTACTAGACCCTGTTTGTGTTTACTGTCCCATTTCTTGCAATGCACTCTCCTACAATAGGTTTTTTGCTTTAGAAAAATCTCATCATCTCCAACATGTCGTTAGGAAATCTGCTTGGAATTCTGCACTTGGGTGGTGTGGCCCTTTACTGAGGCTCTAGAGACAGCTCTCCCAGGTACTGGCCTGCCACTGACTCTGAACCACCACACTCAGCATGCTTGTACCTTATTAGGCCATAGCGTGCCTGTCAAGGAAGGGCAGGGCTGGCTGCTGCTGTGTGAGTCAAGGTTGGAAAAACAATGTGTGGGAACCACTGCCAGTCCCACAGAGCCAGCCCTAATGAGCACCATCAACATGCCCAAACACCTGTCTGCAGAGCCAGAAATACCAGTGGAGCACAACCATTTGTGATGGACTCTCCCACGCTGATGTGAATGGAAAGATAGAGAAGCCTGACAGATCAGGTAGTAGGGTTGGCCAATGTGCAGTTTCAGGCATCAGAACTGTGTATTTATTCACACATCCTTTGATGCCCATTGGCACCTCCTTTAATTTTGGGGTGTGTTGTTAAAGTCAGATAAAGTTGGGTAAGTAAGAGGCTAATAGTGTGGCTAGATGATGTGCCAGCTGTGTCTAGGAAGGAGTCCGAAGCAAAATTCTGGGGCTCAGATTCTTATCACTGCTGTGGCCCCATTACCTGCCATAAAAGACTCTCTGTACAAGCACTGCGGAAGACAACTGTAAGCTGCCATCTGAGGATGCCTTCATGAGCCTTTGGATAGGGCATGTGAGGCTGTGATGATGGGAGGGATGCGCTGGGGGTGAGGGCACAGCTGGGAGATTTCAGGTAGCACTGCAGTCCAGGTAGGATGCCCCTAGAACAGCCCAGGATTGGGAGGGTGCAAAGGAGGCTTAAAACCACCATAGCACCCCACACCCCTGGGCTGTGAGTCCTGTGCTGCACAAGCCCAGAATCTCATCTTGCTGGATCTTTTTATGAATCCAATTTGCATGATTCTAAAATTGATTTGTATTCCATGGAAAGATCTGCTTCTCTGTATTAAATGCATGATTTGTCCTCTGATTTACACTAGCTTATGTATGTATCAACACTCCAGATTCTCAAAAACACTTCACTAAATTAATTCTGTTTTAAGGCTATCACTAGAGTTGTCCAGGAAATGGAAACTGCTTCCTGCGAATAATTTCATTTCAGGACAAAAACTCAGAAACATGATATTTTTTGCAAGGAGGGATTTCCAGAAAAATTCTGTTTCAGGAGAACCAAAACAAATTTTTTTAGCTAGCAGACCATCTTGGGGATCCAACCAACCTGGGGAGCTTGACAATTCACTGGCAGTGCCAGCCTGGGTACCTGCTTATCTGGTTTCCTTTGAAGCTGTTGATGAAATTGATGCATGTTGATTCTGTCAAATCAGGCAGAACATTTTCGAGTAGCTGCCACTGCTTTTAACTCAACATGGATCAAGGGCAGCATCTGACCATTGGGTAGAGCTGGGTGCAAAACAGTTTTCTTCAAATATTCAAGAGTTCAAAATTTGTTCTCGTCTTAAATCAAGATGAAAAGTCAAAATCTCAACAAAAAAAAATTGCAATCTAAAACACTGAAAAATGTTGTGGTTTGGGTCTATGGAAGCATTTTATTTTGAAAATTTCAAAATGTTTCATTTCAATTTTAATTTTTTTTATTTTTTCCTCAAACCTGACTCTGACTCAAGAACAGTTTTAGTTTTGACAAGTTAGCCTCTTTCAATGAAAAACGATTCATCCAAAAGATTCCCAACTAGCCCTACCCTTGGGCTAGTTCCTTGCCACCATTTTTCCCTTTGTCCCTGTTCCTGGGTTGTTTTATACCACACTGTTACTGCAGGAATAGGAAATGACTTGTTAACAACTAGAAGGGAGAAAGAAATGCATCAGAGCATCTGGCATATTAAATATTAGATTTGAAATACTTTACGGTCATCCATAATAGGATTATTGTCCTTGTTCTGCTTCTGTCCCCTTGTGAGTCTGAGTGGAAAGGCCTCAACAGGGCTGGTCTGGGAAGGATAGGGGCAGGAGAGGGCTGTCTATATGCCGTGGGAGTTAAACAAGTATTCTAGAAGGGAGAGGTTGAGCAAGTGAATGGAACTTGAGAGCAGGAGTTGTCCTGAATTTATTGCACTTTGGTTGTGTTCCAGAATTCAGTGCAAACTAGGAGGGAAGTTGGATCTGCAGAGAGCAGAGGTGGTTATTTTAGCTTCCTATGTGCCAAGCAAAGGGCAAGGACTTCGCCAAGCAGTGATGCCGTGAGATTAGGACTAGGCATTTTTAATAGGAGCATGGTTTCTATGCAATATTTCAGAAACAAGCCACCCACAGGTAATAATAACTTAACTTTATAGTCATGCAGCATCTTGAAGATTCCCAAGCACTTACAGACTGCACACACACAGAGTACTTGCCTGGTGCTTAAACATGGCTGCTTCTGGGGAGAAATACACAGCTGTCAGAAGCAGTGGCACAGGACAAGCCTTTAGGACAAGAACTAAAAAAAATCTTCTCTCTTGTAATGTTTTCAGAGGGGATTTAGACAGGCAGTGTACAATTAACCAAATTGGAATTTGGCCAGGACACTCACACAAATCCGAGTCTGACTCAGAATGCATGGTATGTCCAATGACCATTCATGTCCAGGACTTTGGTGTTGTATTTCATAGGAAAGGTGACACCTCCAGTAGCAAAATACTTCCTAGCTTCCCAGTTGGTGCATTGGTTCAGACTAATTCAGATGCCTCAGAGAATACTGCTGCAGAGGATTACACTCCAAGTAGAAGCTCATCATCATGCTTCTACTTGGAGTGTAAATCCCAAAGGGACATAGCATCCTTGCAGGCTGAGTGCCATGGAGATTGATCTCTAGCTCGATCTTTCAAGTGGTCTGGCTGGATATTTGGGTTATGTCCATCATTGGTAATCTTACTGCATCCTGAAACTTGTGATTTCCCTGGGATCTCTGGCCATGTAACAGCATTCCTTGGTAAAATACACTTTGGAATTCTTTGGTCTTCCATTGTAATTATATGTCCATACCAAGAAAGCCACTGAACCCGAACCAGTTTTGATGGAGATGGTTACTGGGTCTGGCTACAAATACTCTCGTTGCTGATCTTGTCCCTTAATATGGAGCAGATGATGAAGATGGTGAAAATTGCAAATGTCAGTGTGCCACTCTTCAGCAGCCACGTTTCATTGCTGGACAATAGAGCTGGTATAACTAAGGTTCTATAGATCCATAGCTTTGTAGCTGTCATGATGTCCCCACAGAAGCTGCTGAAAGGCCCAAAACATGACAGTACTTCCTGCTATACAAGAAGAAGAAGAAGTCCTTGCATATCAGCCTGTAGAGACTATAGATCTTTGGATGAAAGAGACTATTAATTGTCAGTCATTAAGTCATTTACACACTTGTAAAAGAGACAAGAATATGTGTGTGTATCTATAGGCTAAGGTTACTACAGCTTGCTATCTGCTTGTGAGGTCATTAGGCAGGGAACAGGAATTGTCAGTTCTGCCTGGAAATGTGATGTTGCTTTAAAAGAATGTCAGTGTTATATCAACATCAATATGTGTCTTGTTGTCTGTTGTGTCTGAATGGTTCCAGGCATATGACCCTGAAATGCCTCTTCCTCCACTGATCCTGGATAGGCATGTCTGCCATGACTAGACTATGGACCTGAGCATGAATCCAAGTGGGGTTTACCCATCTTGGTCCTGCCTCAGCACAGGAGGATGGACTAGATGACCTCTCAAGGTCCTTTCCAGACCGACATTGCTATGATCCCTTAATTCTGAACGACTTTTCACATGGATCCATGAGAACAGTGATGGGAAAGACTCCAGTTGGCCAAGAAGATGAAATAAAATAGACAGGAAAATAGACCTTCCTGTCTCTCATTTCTCCCAGTGTGATATTGCTGTGATATGTAATTCACACACTCACCCAGATCCTGTCTGGAAACCATTTATAACTGGAGCAATAATTTGGGTTTTCCCCCCTTTTTCATTTTTTCAGGTGGACCCATTGCCTTGAACTGGGAACCAAAGTAGAAGAAAATTTGAGAGAACCATGATGTCTCTTGGTGTCAGCAAAGGTAATTTATCTTGCCCCCGCCCTCGCCTTCCTTAAGATCATACTATTTGCTCTCTTAGATGAACTTGAATATCTGTAATTTCCCCCATTCCAGTGTATGATGTCTGAAAATTCATTGGTCCTACTCTTTCCTCTCAGCATTACTCAAGAGATTGTCATGTATTTATGTATGTATTTATGTATTTACTTTCCACAGAATTCTGTGTGTTTGATATTTCACTGGGGTTGAACTGTAATGCCTACAAAGGTCGAGAAAGGTGGAAAAATAGTAACCTCCAATGCATTTCAGGGTGAACAAAACAAAAATGTAAGCAATCCTCTATTATCCTGGCTGACACAGAAGGAGTGTATAAAATTCTTATTGGGGCAACATGTATCCCACGACTCAACAACAGAATCCACCCCTTCTCCAGAATCTGAGGGTCCATATTAAAAATAATCATAGATTCAGAGAAGATTAGGGTTGGAAGAGACCTCAGGAGGTCATCTAGTTCAACCCCCGCTCAAAGCAGGACCAACCCCAACTAAATCATCTCAGCCTGGGCTTTGTCAAGCTGGGCCTATGGATAGAGATTCCATCACCTCCCTAGGTAAGCCATTCCAGTGCCTCACCATCCTCCTAGTGCAATAGTTTTTCCTAATATCCAACCTAGACCTCCCCCACTGCAACTTGAGACCATTGCTCCTTGTTCTGTCATCTGCCGCCACTGAGGACAGCCTCTCTCCATCCTCTTTGGAACCCCCCTTCAGGTAGTTGAAGGCTGCTATTAAATCCCCCTCACTCTTATAGAATCACACAATCATAGCACTGGAAGAGACCTCGAGAGGTCATCTAGTCCAGTCCCCTGCACTCAAGGCAGGACAAAGTATTATCTAGACCATCCCTGAAAGGTGTTTGTCCAACCTGCTCCTAAAAATCCCCAATGACGGAGATTCCACAACCTCCCCAGCCAATTTATTCCAGTGCTCAACCACTCTGACAGTTAGGAAGTTTTTCCTAATGTCCAACCTAAACTGCCCTTGCTGCAATTTAAGCCCACTGCTTCTTGTCCTATCCTCAGAGGTTAAGAAAAATAATTTTTCTCCCTCTTCCTTGTAACAACCTTTTATGCACTTGAAAACTGTTATCATGTCCCCTCTCACTCTTCTCTTCTCCAGAATAAACAAACCCAATTTTTTCAATCTTCTCTCAGAGGTCATGTTTTCTAGACCTTTAATCATTTTTGTTGCTCTTCTCTGGACTTTCTCCAATTTGTCCACATCGTTCCTAAAATTTGGCACCGAGAAGTGGACACAGTACTCCAACTGAGGCCTAATCAGCACTGAGTAGAGCAGAAGAATTACTTCTCGTGTCTTAGAATCATAGAATCATAGAATATCAGGATTGGAAAGGACCTCAGGAGGTCATCTAGTCCAACCCCCTGCTCAAAGCAGGACCAATCCCCAACTAAATCATCCCAGCCAGGGTTTTGTCAAGCCTGACCTTAAAAACTTCTAAGGAAGGAGATTCCACCACCTCCCTAGGTAACGCATTCCAGTGTTTCACCACCCTCCCAGTGAAAAAGTTTCTCCTAATATTCAACCTAAACCTCCTCCACTGCAACTTGAGACCATTACTCCTTGTTCTGTCATCTGCTACCACTGAGAAGAGTCTAGATCCATCCTCTTTTGAATCCTCTTTCAGGTAGTTGAAAGCAGCTATCAAATCCCCCCTCATTCTTCTCTTCCGCAGACTAAACAATCCCAGTTCCCTCAGCCTCTCCTCATAAGTCATCTGTCCAGTCCTCTAATCATTTTTGTTTCCCTCCGCTGGACGTTTTCCAATTTTTCCACATCCTTCTTGTAGTGTGGGGCCCAAAATTGGACACAGTACTCCAGATGAGGCCTCACCAATGTCGAATAGAGGGGAAGGATCACGTCCCTTGATCTGCTGGCAATGCCCCTACTTATACATCCCAAAATGCAATTGGCCTTCTTGGCAACAATGGCACACTGTTGACTCATATCCAACTTCTCGTCCATTGTAACCCCTAGATCCTTTTCTGCAGAACTGCTGCCTAGCCATTCGGTCCCTAGTCTGTAGCGGTGCATGGGATTCTTCCGTCCTAAGTGCAGGACTCTGCACTTGTCCTTGTTGAACCTCATCAGCTTTGTTTTGGCCCAATCCTCTAATTTGTCCAGGTCCCTCTGTATCCTATCCCTACCCTCCAGCGTATCTACCTCTCCTCCCAGTTTAGTGTCATCTGCAAACTTGCTGAGGGCGCAATCCACACCATCCTCCAGATCATTAATGAAGATATTGAACAAAACCAGCCCCAGGACTGACCCTTGGGGCACTCCACTTGATACCAGCTGCCAACTAGACATGGAGCCATTGATCACTACCCACTGAGCCCGACAATCTAGCCAACTTTCTATCCACCTAATAGTCCATTCATCCAGCCCATACTTCTTTAACTTGCTGGCAAGAATACTGTGGGAGACCGTGTCAAAAGCTTTGCTAAAGTCAAGGAACAACACGTCCACTGCTTTCCCCTCATCCACAGAGCCAGTTATCTCATTATAGAAGGCAATGACTCATGACTTGCCCTTGGTGAATCCATGCTGACTATTCCTGATCACTTTCCTCTCCTCTAAGTGCTTCAGAATTGATTCCTTGAGGACCTGCTCCATGATTTTTGCAGGGACTGAGGTGAGGCTGACTGGCCTGTAATTCCCAGGATCCTCCTTCTTCCCTTTTTAAAGATGGGCCCCTCATTAGCCTTTTTCCAGTCTTCTAGGACTTCCCCCGATCGCCATGAGTTTTCAAAGATAATGGCCAATGGCTCTGCAATCACATCCGCCAACTCCTTTAGCACTCTCCGATGCAGCGCATCCGGCCCCATGGACTTGTGCTCGTCCAGCTTTTCTAAATAGTCCCGAACCACACTTGCTAGCTGCACCTCCAGGTGTGATTTGGCCTTCCTGATTTCACTCCTGCATGCCTGAGCAATATTTTTATACTCTTTCCTGGTCATTTGTCCAATCTTCCACTTCTTGTCAGCTTCTTTTTTGTGTTTAAGATCAGGAAGGATTTCACTGTTAAGCCAAGCGGGTCACCTGCCATATTTACTATTCTTTCTACACATCGGGATGGTTTGTCCCTGTAACCTCAATAAGGATTCTCTAAAATACAGCCAGCTCTCCTGGACTCCTTTCCCCCTCATGTTATTCTTCCAGGGGATCCTGCTCATCAGTTCCCTGAGGTTGTCAAAGTCTGCTTTTCTGAAGTCCAGGGTCCATATTCTGCTGTTCTCCTTTCTTCCCTGTGTCAGGATCCTGAACTCGACCATCTCATTGTCACTGCCTCCCAGGTTCCCATCCACTTTTGCCTCCCTTACTAATTCTTCCCGGTTTGTGAGCAGCAGGTCAAGTAGAGCTCTGCCCTTAGTTGGTTCCTCCAGCACTTGTACCAGGAAATTGTCCCCTACTCTTTCCAAAAACTTCCTGGATTGTCTGTGCACTGCTGTATTGCTCTCCCAGCAGATATCAGGGTGATTGAAATCTCCCATGAGAACCAGGGCCTGCGATCTAGTAACTTCCGTGAGTTGCCGGAAGAAAGCCTCATCCACCTCATCCCCCTGATTCGGTGGTCTATAGCAGACTCCCACCACGACATCACCCTTGTTGCTCACATTTCTAAACTTAATCCAGAGAGTCTCAGGTTTTTCTGCAGTTTCATACTGGAGCTCTGAGCAGTCATACTGCACTCTTACATACAAAGCAACTCCCCCACCTTTTCTGCCCTGCCTGTCCTTCCTGAACAGTTTATATCCGTCCATGACAGTACTGCAATCATGTGAGTTATCCCACCAAGTCTCTGTTATTCCAATCACATAATTCCTTGACTGTGCCAGGACCTCCAATTCTCTCTGCCTGTTTCCCAGGCTTCTTGCATTTGTGTATAGGCACGTGAGATAACTCGCAGATCGTCCCTCTTTCTCAGTATGAGGCAGGAGTCCTCCCCTCTTGCGTGCTCCTGCTCGTGCTTCCTCCCAATATCCCACTTCCCCACTTACCTCAGCGCTTTGGTCTCCTTCCCCCGGTGAACCTAGTTTAAAGCCCTCCTCACTAGGTTACTCAGCCTGCTTGTGAAGATGCTCTTCCCTCTCTTTGTTAGGTGGAGCCCGTCTCTCCCTAGCACTCCTCCTTCTTGGAACACCATCCCATGGTCAAAGAATCCAAAGCCTTCTCTCCGACACCACCTGCGTAGCCATTCGTTGACTTCCACGTTTTGACAGTCTCTACCCAGGCCTTTTCCTTCCATGCGGAGGATGGACGAGAACACCACTTGCACTTTAAACTCCTTTATCCTTCTTCCCAGAGCCATGTAGTCTGTAGTGATCCGCTCAAGGTCATTCTTGACAGTGGTGCCCACGTGGAGAAGCTGAAATGGGTAGCCATCCGAGGGTTTGATGAGTCTCGGCAGTCTCTCCATCACATTGTGAATCCTAGCTCCTGGCAAGCAACAGACTTCTTGTTTTTCCTGGTCGGGGTGGCAGATAGATGACTCAGTCCCCCTGAGGAGAGAGTCCCCGACAACCACCACCCGCCTCCTTTTCTGGGTAGTGGTGGTCGTGGAACCCCGAACCTTAGGACTGTGCATCTCATGCCTTCCAATCGGTGGAATCTCCTTCTGCTCCCTTCCCTCAGATGTATCATCTAGTCCACTCTCCGCATTAGTACCTGTAGAGAGAACATGAAAGCGGTTACTTACCTATATCTGCTTTGCTGGTACATGGACGCTCCCCTTTCTTCTTCTGGAGGTCACATGCTGCCAAATTTCTTCACCATCCTCCTTTCCCCGCAGTGCAGCCTGCTTTGAATCTTCAGAATGTTGTGTCTGTAGAAGCATATCCTGACGTCTGTCCAGGAAATCTTGTTTCTCTTATGCAACGCAGGGTCGATACTTGTTTCTCCAGACCTTGAACCTTCTCTTCCAACATGGAGACCAGCTTGCAC